AGCAGATTTTTAAAAGATCTCCACAGCCGGAGACCTCAACCCCTGAGCTCTGATAACCCTGCTAGGTCTTTATAGTCGGATTTTCTTTTGTTTTCTTTTTAAAGAAAGGGACCTTCCCATTGATCGAAGACAGCGCCAGCAGCAATTAGCACGAAAGTGGGCTCTAGCTGGGTGAGAAACATCTTTCTCGTTGCAGTGTGATTTTGTTCCCGGTGAAGGATAATGCCGCATCATCACCAGAGAGACAAAAACACCGTCGTCCTTAACAAGGCGGCTGCTTACAACCTGAGTTTAATCCCAGTAGACTCAGATAGCTGGCTCAGGGATGACTCAAGCCTTCCTTCCTCATGAGACTGGTAAATTGAGTACTGAGCTCACGGCGGTTGCCGATAAGGTGTAGCCAAATAATTAAATTGTGAATCACCCAGAGAGTTTGCTAAATATGTAAAATGCAAATAAGACTGCCCTTTCGCGTTCAGCTCAGGACACAATGCCGCCTCGTTAATTAGGAATATGGAGAGTCGATTAGCAATTTTGCCCTGGTCTCCACCTTTCCCCACCTTATTAACAGGCAGCCTGGTGAATTAACAACAGCAGACAAGAGCCGAGCTCTTCCCTTCCCTCTTATTATAACGTAACGGGGTCAGAGACGGGACCCCGTCACCAGGTGATGAAGCTGTTGTGAAGGAGAGGAACGGCAACACACCTCTGGGAAGGATGTGCTGGGGTCGGTCGCTACAACAGTCTCAAGCAATAACAGGGACCCCCTATATCTGTGGGATCCGTGTCCACCAGTTCGCGCATCATCTAGCGAGGCACCACTGTAATTTAAAACCCAACTAATAACATGTTTTAGAGAGTTTTCAACAAATAAGCATTGGGATCAAATAAGAAACAACTATCTGAAGATCTGGTTAAAAGCATGCCCTGTACAAAGCATATTTCGGGAGAGAGTTCTTGAGATACAGAGCCACCATAAAGGAGGCCAAGTCAGGATTTGCCCAAAGTAATGCAATAACGTGACATTCAATGCTTGAAGAAGGGTAGTGGTGAGTTCTGCTGAAAACTGCGTGAATATATCAAAAATATTAAAAGAAAAAATTGTAACGTGCACAATGGGAACTGCGTTCAGCACCTTGGACAGCTCCTGGATAGTTTGGACTAGGAGTGTTAAAAACCGGAGGTCCACTTTGAATTATTCGTCCGATGAATGGCTACCCGATTGCTTTTAGAGAATATGGAACCCACCTGCTTCTATTTTTTTTAATCCAACTGTTTTAAATATTTGCATTTGCCGAAATAGTAGAAAAGAAGCATGAAACCAGAGGGAATAAAGGGCTCAGATTTGTAATGGCAGGGGTGAAATGCAGTGCCATCAACTACTCCTCAACCTCCAGTGTACATCCAATGCAGAGGCAAAGCTAGAGTTTGGAAGTAAACTGTTACTTGGTGTTTAAATTAGGTGTAACTTAATTGTTTGCAAGTTTTGATTTCTTTTGATAAGTTACCAAAAAAAGTTTTGATAACGACAAGTCCTGTTTTGAAAACATGGTAAGGATAGAAACAAGTTATACTGTGTGAATGTAACAGACAAGGTTTGCATATAACGTTTTCTCATTATTTCCAAAGGGCATTTTAGACTTTTTAGACATTTTGAACAGAATCTAGATATTAAGCCATTTTAAAAAAAATCAATCCAAAGCATCGGGATTGTTGTGGGTTTTTTTTTTCCTGTTCAGAAAAGTGACATGAAATTATAAGTTTCTCAAACAGATCGACTAGTGCATGATTTTAGGGGCCTTTACCACTCGTGACGTGACAAATGCATTCTGTAATGGCTTTACATGCTATTTAAAATCATCCTTTCCGCTTCCCCCCTCCCCATTCTTTTAACATCTTATCTGAATATATTCTCCAACTTTTATTTTGGCTCAGGAAGTTTTAAAAAAAATCCAGCAAGTGTCCCTCTCCAAAACTAGGAATAAAATTACAACTATAAATTAAATAAAAACCAGTTTCCTGCTCTTTCAAAATCTGCTGCCTGATTTGGTTCTCTCTCTGGCTAACAGTAGGGCCAGCCGTGCGAGGTCTCATCCAAGACCCCAACCAGCTGTTTTCACTGTACCCCCAGGCCTTCTCTAACTTGTCTTCCCCCCCAGTTTCGGATCCAGAGAGAGCAGGGAGAGAGCAAATCAGTCCAGAATCGCACATTTCGTTCAATCCGGTCCATATTGTTTGCAAGAAAATTGCCACTTTCCCCTCATTAATTGGAAGAGTCCCAGGATATACTACCGACTGGATAAGCATCAGGGGGGAGGGGGGAAAAACATTCATTAAAATAATATTTTTTGAGAAATGAAAACCAGAAGTGACACATGTTTATAATTGTTGGCTCCCTTCTGATTTCTCGGTTCCCTTGAAAGACAGCCGAGGGTAACTGGGTGAAAAAAAACAAATCAAAGCTATTTCCTACTCTCCCCCCCCCCAGCAAAGTTAACTCTACACAAGCTTGGCAAGGGAGGGACTTGGTAGGAAATGGGGGAAGCAAAGGTGTTAAAGACAAATCCTTTCTTCAAAAAAACACAGCCTACCCAGATGGTGGCCCTCTCTTGACACTTTTAACCTGCCGGATAAGCTGAAGGTAAACAGAGAAGAAAAAAGGTTTGTGATATACATTCTTGGCCCCACATCTTGCACCTTGCAATGCAAGCTTTGAAAGAAGCTCATTTCTCCCTTATTTGCCTCTGGATCAACGTCAAACCGGACCCGGGTTCTGCGTTCGAGGTGCTGCTCCAGCCGTCCAGCAAGCTAGCCAAGCTTGCCAACGGGCCAGATCAAAACACAGGCTAGCTGCACTCAGATCTTTTAAGGACAACGTGGTTTGTAGCCATTAGAAAAGCGAAACTCAGCACAGCGATAAAACCAAGCTTGGAAATTTCCGTTCTTAGCTTTGAGAGGATTGTGGATATTCCAAAAAGTCAATCTTGATGGTGGTAAAGCGTTACTTTATGAGGCGGTAAAGAATTAGTACCTGTTGATGGCACAGGCTGAGCTATTAAGCCCATGGGGTAAAATTTTAGTTTAGTAAATAGATAATAATTACATGCCGTCAAGTCAATTCTGACTTACAGCGACCCTTTCCAAGGATTTCTCAGCAAACAGTAGTCAGAAGTGTTTTTCCATTCCCTTCCACTAGGGGGTGCCCCGGGACTGTACAGCTGGCCCAAGGCTACCCAGGCTGGCTCTACTCATAGGAGGCACAGTGGGGGAATCGAACCTCCAACCACTGAGCTATCCAGCCAGCTCGTTCACAACTTAGGGCGTTGTTAATCAGGGCGATTATGCCAAAATAGCATAACAGTTGGACTGGGCATGGGAAGTTGGGGGTTCAAATCCATGTTATCTCCGCCTAACCCACCTTACGGGGTCATTGAGAAGACCAAAGGGGAAATATGACAGCCATGGAGGCTGAGCTCAACTAAGAAAGGCGAGGTGTAATCAAGAAATAAAAGTCTAGTGCTGTTGCTTCAACCCTTTGGCAACACTTCCTACGGTGAAACACTGCCTGCACCCAAAGGAATTTTCCCGGAAGGCTTTTGCTGACAGGGCTTTTTATAATGGCAGCCAACGTGGTTATTTAGGAGAGTTTGGTTCAATAACATTGTGACTTTTATCTGGGTTGTCTGTTAATGGATCGGTTCCAATCTCAAAACAAATTACCATTTACTTTTTGGATATCTTTATCTTTATTTTTTTTCCAGACCTGATTTTGTAGATTTCCAGCTACGTGGAGAGAAACAGACTTTTCCCACCCTTAAATTATCCTAATAAAGGTGGCAGGCCTTTTAAACATGGCTCATTCATGGTTCTTTAAATGCCACCCCTTCCAAGCAGTCCGCAGCTTTACTTCTTGGCCGCCACTGATCAGATACAGCTGATAAAAACCTTCCGATCACCTTCACGGTGAAACTTTTTCATTTTTCGTTACGCACCGGAGACGGACAGATGTGGCGTTATAGACTGCACGTCATTGGCAGCTGAAATCTCATTCAAGTGCCCCAGAGGGAAAAAACCTGACAGAGCTACCCACAGTCTGAGATCTCCCTGGACATCGTGCCCCCCCCCAAAAAAACATTTTTCCAAACTCTGGGCCCAGCCCACCCTCCAAAACAAGTGACGATAGCAAGGTTGCCAACTTTTCCCACCCAACCCTGCGCTTCTGCCTTTCAGAACCAGCGAAGTCACCGAGGTGTGTGTTTTTTCCCGTACGTATTCTCGAAGGCTTTCACGGCCAGGATCTGATGGCGGTTGTGGGTTTTTCGGGGTGTTCTTCTTGGCTCAAAGGGGGGCATGTCATTTATGAAGGCCTCGGAGCAGGTCGTTGGCAACTTTTGCTGGAAACTGACCAGCTTCGTGTGTCAATGGCTGCAGAGGGAGAGCTTTCTTCTAAAAGGAAAGGAAGGAGCCTGCAAAGCTGGGCTCCGGCCAAATCCCAGCTTGCCTGTTGCTCTTTCTCCAGATGGGCAGGCCCCCCTCCCAGCCAGCCCCCCCTTC